TGTGTGTGTATGTATATACATATACATATATATGTGTGTGTGTGTGTGTGTGTGTGTGTACAACTCTGCTAGCAAGTCACGGGTGACAGCCCAAGATTTTTTACAAAAGGCTACATATATTACTCATATTTTCCAGACAACATGAAAGGAATCAATCTTTTAAAGCATCCTTTAAGCCTCTAAATAATCTCTCTTGTATTTCTAAGAACCTACAACAGAATTTATAATTATACTTTTTCATTGTTTAAATCTAAATTCTGAATGTCAGATTTTTTGTCGTGATTCCATAGACTGAGACCCTGAAATAAAGTTAAATAAACTTTAGCACAACATTTGCTTGAATGCACCTTCAAATCAAAGATTTGTCATTATTCCAAGTAGAAAGGTTTGGCACTGCAAAATAAAAGTGAAAGTACATTTCAGCGGATGCCAGGAAAACAGAACTCCTAATTGCCTCCAATCACCTAATCGCAATCCACTAGATTAATGCGCTCCTGGAAGGCAGGGACTGTCTTTTTTATTTCTTTGTATCCCTCTTACTTAGCTGGCATATAGTAGACACTTATTAATGCTTATTGACTGATGGCTAGACCTCTTATTAAAAAAAAAAGAAGAAGAATTCTATTTACTTCCATTCCACCATGACCAAGGTGGACTCCCCACAAATTACTATGTACCTGCTCAAAGGACCAGATAATGATATCTTCTCTTCCAAAATTGTTGGAACTGTTACTTTAAAAGAATATTGCATGGCCTTCTTAATTCTTCCTTTCTATTTCCTTGTGTGCAAAATACAAGAATGACTGTTATGTGTCTTCTCTCCTTGACACTATTTTTATTAGAAGGAAACTGCAGCTTACCTTGGAAATAGATGCCTGATTGGATCTGAAGGACTCTTGGGAGGGTTCTGGGATTCAGAGAGTGGATGAATTCCTGAAGAGTGGATGTCATTGCTGAGCCAGAAGTATGCAGACACCTGGTGCCACACAAGGCTGGGGCCGCTGAGAGTCACTTCATGGCAGTTAGAATCTGGGCCATCTCCCTACACACACTGAACTATGGGGGTGGGGAATCTATAAGGAAGGTGCTAATACTTCTTCATTGTCCTCATTGTGGTCTTCATTTCCTTCCAACACCAAAGTAACACAGGATGGGGGCGGGGTGAGAGAGTCTAAACACCTGCCACAGAATGAGAATGCCAAGTATGGTTCTCATTGCCTCCTGCTTCCCCAGGTGTCTTTTTGCAGCCTAGACAGAACTGTTTGTGGTCAAAGCTGCAGGTGAAAGGACTACCTGAACAGAAGGAGAAAATGATCTCTGAAACTAAACTAAGATGCAAAATTGTGTTATTATGAGACCCATTTCACACGGACTTTCTATATGAGCACTTACTTACCAGTCCCCACGTGACTGCAATTGTATGTGTCTCACTATGTCAACTGATTGTATAAGTAAATAAGGAACTTAGTTTCCTTGTCTGTATGTTGAAGACGCTATGCTCAATGATCTCTAAATTCTGTTCTGATGCTCAGTTTTATTATTGTAACCATTTTCACAAAGGCTCTCTCTAGACATGAAGGACTGGGATACACTTTAAGAGATTTCTCAATTATTTATCTCATTTCTTTCTCACCAAATCATCTGTGAATTTCCTATCTCATATCACCCTGTTTGACAATAACTAATTCACCTTGCAAGAACAAAGCTCAAAGAGTGAATGAGTTTATTGAAAAGCCAGTGATCATATCAGAGCCCTTATTAAAGTAAAAACACCTGAGGGTGACAACTCTAACCAACAAGCCTGGTTTCAGTCAGTTATGGAATTACTCTGGGTTTGGTACCACAGGAAATCCTTCTCCTCCTCAGCACTCTCCTCTATAGTTACCCCAGCTAACTACCCAGTGCCATCCTTCCTGTACCCCCTATCTCCTGCTCCATCACCCTGTACACACAGATCACTCTTCCTACAGCTCCTAACAAGCTGCAGGTCACTCATCCCATCACTAAATTCCACTGTGGTCCTCTTAGTCACAGCATTTCATGAAAGCTCCCTTGAGCTTCTAATAAATGAGGGCAGACATCTTCTTCCATTGTCAGATATGGTGTCCTATCTGCCATGTCATTTTCATTGCTATTCTCCTTATCTCTCAGAAGAAAGTATGACCATTCTTTATTTCAGGGAACCAGATCTCTGTGAAGTTCCCATAGATAAAGAGCACTTTGGAGTCCCTGGCAGATTAAAGTATAGATCAGGGGTGGGGAACCTGTGACCTCGAGGCCACAGGTGGCCCTCTATGTCCTCAAGTGCAGCCCTTTGAATCCAAACTTCACAAGACAAATCTCATTTTTGGGGGGGGGGGGTGAGGCAATTGGGATTAAGTGATTTGCCCAGAGTCACACAGCTAGTAGGTATCAAGTGTCTGGTCTGAGACTGAATTTGAACTCCAGGGCCGGTGCTCTATTATTGCACCACCTACCTGCCCGACAAATCCCCTAAATAAAAGGACTTGTATAAAACTTGAACTCAGTCAACAGGCCACACCCAAGGACCTAGAAGGCCACATGTGCCCTCGAGGCTGCAGGTTCCCCACCTCTGGTATAGATCAAAAACCCATGAACAGATAGGTGGTGAGGTAGATAGAACACTGGATCTAGAGTCAGAAAGATCTGAGTTCATATCCAGCCTTAGATAACTATTGGCAATGTGACCTAGGAAAGTCACTTAACTTTTGTTTGCCTCAGTTTCCTTTTCTGTAAAATGGGGATGATAATAATAGCAATTATCTTTCAGGGTTGTTGTGAGGATAAAATGACATTTGTGTGAAGTGCTTTGCAAAACTTAAAGTAACCTAAATACTAGCTATTACCAAAACTGAAGCCTTCCCTTCCTCATGTGGTGTTTCCTATGGCTTCTGCCATGAAACAAGAAGTCTCCTGGGGACTGGCATTATAACTTCTTGCATCCTACAAGCAAGTTCCCCTCTTTAATACCTTACTACCTGAGGGTAACTTTCACAGTCCTAGGTATGTACCCATCATCTAAGAATTGAGCCTCGTTTCTGTGGCTCCTCTTTCTATGAGTCTAGGAATTTGGAAATGTACCTTAATTTTTCTCTTCCATCGCTTCTCAATCTCCTATGATTCCTCTTGGCAGTGTTAAATTACCTGGGGCTGCTTATAAAGCACCTAGAGGAGAATGACCAGGGAGAGGAAAATGTATTTTCCCTATTGCATTCTTCCCTCCATCATATATATTTAAAATTTTCATATATAGTATGTGATACACAATATAAAACAAGCATCAATTATATGCTTTGTGATATAGACATGAGTAGGGAACAGGCAGGTTTTCACAAATAATATTCTACAACAGACAACATAGGATCGTGAGTTCACATACCTAGAGTTGGGATGTATGACCTGTTCAGGGAGGACTAGGACTTCTGGTGCCAGGGCTTGCCCAGCTCTTTTCAGGGTCACTTACCTACCTTTGGTGTCCAACTCTCATCTGTGGCTCCAAGAAGCTATAGCATGTGGCCATACCCCAATAAAACCATCTTGACAGTTGAGGGTAACTAACAGTCCTCAAACCCATTGATGAGTTAGGGGGATGTCTAGCCCAAGCATGTGAAGACTTCACCTGGTGTTATGGGCAGATGAGAACATCTGTTCCAATGACCACAAAGGTGGCTGAAACAGGCACTCCAGGGCTCTTAGAGCTTGATCAGAAATCAACGGTGCCTTGGGGCGGGGGAAGGGAAGAGATGGGGAGAAAATTTGGAACTCAAAATCTAATGGAAGTGAATGTTGAAAACTAAAAATAAATAAACTACCAAAAAAAAAAGAAAGAAAGAAATCAATAATGCCAAGATCATCCACTATATCCCAGGCCGTTACCAGTCATCTTGACTTTTGTTCTGCTGCTGGACTTCAATGACTCTGGAAGAGATAGTGAAACTGATGACTTTGCGCAACTCTGTTTCATTCAAATTCAATTCACCCACAAGTCAAGGCATTACGCATAACGTCATTTCAAAATTTCAACAAAGGATGAACAACAACATATCTAGAGTTGATAAGGACCTTAGTGTTCATTTGTGCCAATTCTTTCCTTTTACAGATGATGAAATTTGATCCCAGGGAAGCTAAGCAACATGGCCAAGGTCACACAGGTAGTAAACACCAGAAACAAGATTTGAACCCAAGTCCTATATCTTTAGAATCAGTATCTTTATTCTGTACAACTGTGAGAAAGAGAGAGAATGCAAGATCCCTGTGGGTTTTTTTTGTTGTTTATTATCTATTTTTTAAAGTATTTTCTATAAAGAACTTAGAGCAAACCTAAAGACTGTTCTCCAGTCTACCATCTACCATGCATATGTCAAATCATAGAAGATTCCTTAGGAAACACAATAGTAGGCAAAATTTGGGCCTATTAAAATCTGATTAAGCAACACAAAGTATAAACCAGAGCTACTTATGCCTCCTTAAGGTGTCTACCACCACACTGGAGCAAGTCCAGTATAGGGTTCATGTGGAAAATGAATTCCCTGGGGGCAGTTAGGTCCTACAGATAGTCTTGTTTGCGAATGATAATTATGATTGCACTAAGACCTGGAACACTGCAGAACCTACTAAGTGAGATACAGAATCATCTAAAAAAGATTGGCCTAACTCCACAGGAAAAAGCAAGTGATCAGAGAAGGGAATACCTACATCATTGAAAATATAGATCCATTGAAATATGAAAGTAAAACTTTATGTATGCTATTATTAGTATAATTCTCCTCAGAATGCACTCCACTGCCTTGTACATGTAGATATCTACATGGTACTGGGTAGACATCCTCTCTCATCTCATTCTACCTCTCCCTTTCCCTTTCTCCCAGTACATTCTTCTTTCTCACACCTTAATTTTATTCTTTAGATATCCCTTTATCTTCAACTCAAACCTGTGCCCCTGTCTATATATACTCCTTCTAACTGCCCCAATAATGAGAAAGTTCTAATGAGTTACAAGTATCATCTTCCCACATAGAAATGTAAACAGTTTAAACTTAAGTCCCTTATAACTTCTCTTTCCTGTTTATCTTTTTATGCTTCTCTTGAGTCTTGTATTTGAAAGTCAAATTTTCTATTCAGCTCTGGTCTTTTCATCAAGAATTCTTGAAAGTCCTCTATTTCATTGAAAGTCCATTTTTTCCTCTGAAGAATTATACTCAGTTTAGCTGGGTAGGTGATTCTTGGTTGTAATCCTAGCTCCTTTGCCCTCCAGAGTCATATTCTAAGTCCTCCGATCCTTTAATGTAGAAGCTACTAAATCTTGTGTTATCCTGACTGTAGCTCCATAATATTTAAATTGCTTCTTTCTGGCTGCTTTAAATATTTTCTCCTTGAAAGAGAAAATATTTTCTCCTTGGGAGCTCTGGAATTTGATGATAATATTCCTGGGAGTTTTCATTTTGGGATCTCTTTCAGGAGGTGATTGGTAGATTCTTTCAATTTCTGTTTTACCCTCCGGTTCTAGAGTATCAGGGAAGTTTTCCTTGATAATTTTTTGAAAGATGATGTCTAGGCTCTTTTTTTGATCATGACTTTCAGGTAGTCCAATAATTTTCAAATTCTCTCTCCTGGATCTATTTTTCAGGTCAGTTGTTTTTGAGTTGTTGAGATATTTCACATTGTCTCCTATTTTTTTCATTATTTTGGTTTTGTTTTATTGTTTCTTAATTTTTCACATAGGTTTCCCACCCCTGGAGACCATCGACTAATTGCGACAAAGGTAAAAATCACCATTGGCTAAAGATGAGAAAAACACTTGTGCAATTATATCAATTTCAATCTGGCTTAGTCAAATAAGCCTTGATATCAAAAATTGTGAAATAGGCAAAGATGTTAGTCTTGATTATCATCATTTCCTGTAGAAGTTTGAACAATATAAAATAGTCACCACAATAAGGAGAGCAAAAGAGCCCAGAAATTACATTAGTCAACAAACACTTGTTTTCCTTGATAGAAAGAGAGAGAGATGATAGTGAAGGACAACATTTGACCAAAATTTTAAAATCATGTGTAAAACAATAGAGGATTTCTG